CAAAACTTTGAGGTTCTAAAAGTGGTTCAATTTTCATCGTGAAATTTCCTATTTGAAATACCCCTAAAAATGTAATATGTGACGAAATAAACACAGAAATTTGGAGTTTTAGTAGAAAATTTCATGTCCGACCTCTGGAATTGACTCGATCCGTTGTGCGGCGAGGCGCGTCTATTCAATGAAAATAGGATTCCGTGCAAAATAAGAAATGTGAGGAAATGATAAATGGGCTCTTGGGAGGGACGTTGCCTGATCTGAGGAGTCTCCGGCGGAGATGTGAATATGACGACGACGAGGCACATGAATGAACAACGGACACCGCTCATGCATCATTTTCGGATGAGACGGCCATGGCCTCAGCGCGTATCCACACGGAGACTCGAGCCGAAATCCAGGCACCGATATTTCTCACCCCGATCCGAGAATCCGACCCGAGTGGAAATAATGTGTAGGATCCGACGGGATCCAGTATTTCAAGAGTGCTATTTATTTTTTATTTAGCCAAGAAGAGAGTCTAAGACCGGGCGGGGTTATTCAACCGACGCGACGCGCCGAGGTGGATTCTCCTTGGATTATGTCTATTATTTTCCTTGTTCCAGCTTAACTCTTGCCCGCATCCATCGCTCAACGACCCAGCTGCAAACCTTGACGCTCTTTCCCGACTCCACAACGTCTGAGCACCGAGGACTGCCGGGACTGCCCTCTCAAAACAAACTCCCGCCGTCTTTTCCGCTAAAAACACCGCCTGCTCTGCAACGACGTTTCGTTGAAGCAAGAACCCCCACTCGAAGCAATTTCAAACAGAACATAATCACAGTTTACAAAGGTGAAATAAAATGTTTCAACGCTGAGGCGCTTCGGGCGCTCCTTTTGAGATACGCTAATAATTGATGTTTCATTTTGTTAAGAGAAAACAGTTCGATAATCGTCCTCCTGTAAAGTTTGCCACGGCTGTTAAAGTACTTATTCATCCAGAACACCTTAAAAATCTTACTCTATGTTATCAAATCTTGTGGGTATAACGCTTAACGCATAACGCATAACGCCTGAGGCGCCGAGCGCTACGGAGGACGGGCTAGACCGCACAGCGGTTGGGGGGGGGGGGGGGGGGGAGGAGGTTAGGGGGCGTCGCTCCCTGATCAATAACAAGAGGAGAAACGAGTCGTTGACTTGAATTACCTGCACAGATTTGAACTACTATTTGGAGCTGTTCATCAACGTAAGCTACTGACGGGTCTGAGGTAGTCTCATGGGTCAGCTCCCAACCTTGTGTAAGCCACCCTTTTTGGAGAAAAAGTAAAAAAAAAGGTAAAAAAAATTGAGAATTCGCACAAAAAAATTTAAGGTGTTGCTTCATCTGGAAATGCCTATTGAGCTGAGTTCGCAGTATTTTTTATAATTTTTTTCTGACATGAGAAAGCGGAGAAAAATTGATTTTCTAAAAGTAAAGTTAAAAGTTCTAAAAATAAAAGTTAGAAAGTTTGCCGCCAACACATCGTCACCTTGTAGGCAAAGTATCACAAGCGCCATGCGACGTTTAAAAATTTCCGACGCCATTTTATTTTTTTACTGAGAAATTGTAGGTTGAATCTGTTCGAAAATTTCACTAAATTTTAGCGGCAGCACAAAGAAAATTCGGTGTAATTTTCGGACAGCTTCGTTGAAGAATTTCTCTGTAAAAAAATATAATGGCGGCGGAAATTTTTAAACGTCGCATGGCGCTTGTGATACTTTGCCTGGTAGGTGACGACATATATTTTAGCAGAATCGGTTATTTTGTCGTATCTCATAAAATATATCTCCTCTATAATAATTGCTCAATTTATGAATCAAGGATAACTTCGTGTTCAGTTCACTCAGTAGATTACACTACAACACGAGATTTATCAAATTTCAGACTCTTGCAATTTCTCCATTCCCATGGGTAAAAACAATTTTTCAACTAGGTATTATTTGTCTGCCCATTATTTCCTGCAGAATTTTGGAGAGAGGGGTCAAATGTATGGACGTCTCCTGCCCTTTCACTGCCTGACGATAGTTTCCTGAAATTATGAGGAAACGGGTTTATTTTTTTTTTTAATTTTCGAGATGACTGCGGGTCGACGGGACAGGGGTGCAAAATATGCCCTTCATGCGATCTGCACATCGCGTAATCGTTGAGGAAGCTCTTGGGAAACCAAGGAAATGACTGTCCAAAACGAAACTGAAAAAAATTTTCGGAAAAAATTCCAACGATTTTCATCGGGAGACGTTTCAAGCACATTTTCGAAAAAGAAGGGCGAAAGAAAAAAAGTCATCACTTTGAAAAACTCGTGAGGGTGAGGAAAGTTTTCCGAGTTGGAAGAGGAAAAATTCTGAACCGCTTGGAACATTCGGCCCAGTGGAACTTTTTGCACTCCTGCGAATTTTTACTTGAATTACCTACTTCCTGTCATAAACTGAATATACAATTTTGAGGCTCATCGATTCTAAAACCCTGCAGATGGTTGTTGTGTTTAGGATATCAGTTGATATGTTGTTTCAACGGTCCCTCCCCTCATTCATTTACTGCAACGCTTGCGACCGATCATAAACGAAAAAGCAAAAATAGAAATTTGCAACAAATTTTTTCTGAGAAGTAGCACATTGAGCTGACTCGTGATGTGAGCTCGTGTTTTGAGTAAACAAATGCTGGATCAATAGGGTGAGCGATCCGGAGATGAAAACAAAAAATGATTCGTTGAAAACAAGGAAACATGAAGGTCGACCAGTGTGTCCAGTTAGGGCATCCGTTGCGTTGACTTGCGACACTATAAGCAACCGAAATATACTTCACCCAACTGTTCCTCGGACGCTGAACTCTCGTCAACAATACATACGCCAACTGAAAATAAAATGGATGATTCTACGAAAGGACACGCTTCATTTTTTTCCGAGCGACAAGGACCCATAGGAAAGAATATTCTGTCACTCCGCCTCGAAATATGATGGAACCAACATCCACGATTGGAAAAAAAATCTCTTTGAACAAAGTTGAATCGGTCAGTTAAAGAACCACTTAAAACAGATTTTGGTTGTTATAACGACTGCAGTGGGTCAAATTAAAAATAGTTGCGCGCTTGGTGTCCGCTTGTAACGTCATTTTCTGAAAACGCACGTCCTTGAAAAACACAAAAGATGAACAGTACGCCAAAAAATACCCCTCTACACCAAGTTTCAGCCACTTACGACTAAATGACGAGGAGTTGCATCAATTTGAAAGAGAAAAATGGTACCTTTGGAAGCGCATTAGCTCACTTATGAAGCGTTTCCGGGCATACATGTATAGGGAAATACAGTCTTTTTGAGCCACAAAATAGATCCTGAAAATTAAGTACGTTAACTTCTGGACACCCTGTATGTATTAAGGGAAATTGGCAACACTAGAAAGTTCACACAGCGTGTTCCCTCAGCGCTACATTATTCTTGGATGACATGAGGAACTTGGCAACCTGGCGTGGCTGGCGACGGCATTTCTGGAGCATCTGGGGACCATCTACCTGTTGCCCCGGCCCAGGACTCCAGGAGTCATGATTGTTTGTGGTCCGCACCGCACCCTCCCCCTCCCTACTCCGCCGTCACAGGTATTTTTATTCTTTCCTGTTTCTTTCCAAGATCCCCTCCCCCTCCCCTCAATGATGCCGCATCCAGGTCGGTATCTTATAATTTTTCAGACTCGACACCTGACGATTTGGCTAATTCCGACCGCTCCTCGGCCCATTGAATCGCGCAGCGCGCTTCACGTCAAGTTGAGAGGATATGGCCGGGTCACAGTCTAACGGTCAACTTACAATTAGTTTGACAATCTACCCCTGAAAAGTGTTTGTAAAAATTCCTGTAGGAAATAGTGAGAAATGAGGAGGTCAAGGTACAAAATAATGGTTTTTCCACTGAGATGCCTATAAAATTTCCGAGGAATTAAGTTAAATGCACAAAGTTTGTAATAGTTTTTCCGTTCTCTCTTGAATCCTCTTTAGAGGGAAACAGATTTAATGGGAAACCTGTTCTTTAAATTAAAAAAAAAAATTAATAAATAAAATAAAATAAAATACTCTGCTCACCGAAGGTTATAAAAGATGAAACTTTCAAAGGTAAAAAGTTGGGTCATTCAATAAGGGTAAGAAATGTTTTCAAATCTTAACTTGTGCCTATTCCCGATTTCTGTTGATTGCATGAGATTGAACCATAACACGCTTATGGCAATTTTGAGGGCATGAAGGCGGATCACTATTGGTTGACGAGGTTCAAGCACCGATACAAGGTGTCCAAGAGCACCCGTACCATGCTTTTTTTCTCGGTTGATTTACTGAGGTCGAACGAAGTCGGGAACCGCGGGATTGAAGGAGGAATCGACCCCAAGGAATTCGAATTTCATGGTCTCGAAACCCTCCCGGTTCCCCTTGGGAGGTAAAAGGGGGGGGGTCACGTTCCTAAGAGTCGGGTTTTCGATCGAATTTCAATTCGATGTCATTAGAATTGAAAAATGAAAAAAAATTTCACGTGAAATCGACCCCTAAAAATCCAAAATCGGACCACTTTACGCCCAAAAATGATCCCCTAGAGAGGGAGACAACGGCCCCCTCAATAATTCCTCTTTGGCCAAAAATTGACACAGATTCTCCGGAAGAAGATAAGATGGTTTCCCAAGCAATCGACCCCGAGGAATCCGATTTCTATAGTCCCGAAGTCCCCCTAGCCTCCCTTGCGGGCCGATTGAAAGCTGAAAGCAGCCCGATACGACATTGAATTGCAATATATTGCATGGTTAAGATAGGGCTAAGTCTTGTCATATTTTATTGGCATAGTTTCAATAATTGGGCCGCTGGAGGGTAAAATAAGGGGCACAATTTCCCCAGACTTTTGGAATTTCGCCCTCTCCATGATGGTGGATGGGATACGTTATAATCTCCACACTGATCTTGTCTCGTCGTGCATGACTTGTATGTATTATGATAGCAGGAACAATCATTAGATAGCTTTACCTTTAAACAGACATCTGATGAGTAATCTCCGACGAAAGGAAAGGTTATCCAATAGAAGTTGTGAGTAACTCAATGAAAACGATCACTACTTAGGTGCTAAACACTGAAACACAAATAGTTGGGATAGGCCACAGATATTCCACGATTCTTAAAAACACAATATGAACTTGGAGGGCAATATTTGAATCACTTGAACACAGGAAAACACTGGAAAAGGAATCGCGTAACAGCGTGCGAGCAACCGGCAAAACCCACGGACAAGCGTACGCGATGCGAACAGAACCACGTCTCGTTGGGAACTGGTCCGACAGGCAGGCGACAGGAATGGAGAATCGCGCGGAATCAGTTGGAATCACCGTCGATGTTGCCGGTTCGCCGGTCGGCGCACAGTGGTGCAAAATCTGCGATATCTGCACATTGACTTCGCTTTTTTTCACATCATTATTTCATGTGTTCCAGATCCATACTATGTATAGATGATAAAAACTCGTGCTTTTTATCTTTCGACCAACCGATTGTAAAGCCGCGAAAATCGCATATTTACCTCAACAAAGTATCATAATTACCTAGGGTTTAAAATAGAGTACCTGTATAGCGAGAGTATGGACAGATGTGAAACTCCGAAAATCCATCAGGCCTTCACCGATGCTTCTGCGAATAAAGTTAGGGCCCAGAAATGCAGCCAACCTATGAATTTCAATTATCCAGAACGATTTACTAATACTATTGTTACGTATTGTTGTCGTTTATTAAGCACGTGTTTGACTCAGTTTTTGCATAAATTTACTCAAGTTTGCGGAAGAACGCTCATTTCTGTACATTCTTGGCCATCTTGGTTAGAATTGGAACCTGCAGACTGGCAGTGAAATTTTGTGCGTTAGAAGTTGGTTAGAAGGGTGGCTGCACTTTTGGGCCCTAAGCCCTCCATGAAGCGATCTGTCCATACTCTCGCTATACAGGTACTCTAGTTTAAAATGAACCCTACGTACAGAGAGGGTACTGCAAAGAATCGACATTAGTTAAGTTTCAAAATACAATTTTAGCTGAAACAAATAAAATACATCCACATCTTATTTTTAAATTTTGATCGGATGTTTGAGAACCCCACAAAGTCCTACACATATTTCCTTTTGATTTCTTTCATTTTTACATGAATTTTTCCTTTGAGTGTAAATTCATTCATTTATCTACGAGGATTTTTTTTTTCTTTCTTTTTCTAACTCCGCACGTATTCATGTCATCGAATCAAGGAAAGGAAGATGAAAAATGGATTTTACGATGGAAATCTCTCAAGGCACTTACTTTGAAAACGAAATTCCAATTTAAAAGAGTACAATAACCGAAACAAATTGAAACGGAAGGCGATGACCGGGCATTTAAATTTTTGCTCAATTGTGCGGCGACGCAAAATGCAACATATGAACAAATCGACCTGGCAACCGCTGGCCCCAAGTCCAGCGTTGAGTGGAGGGGAGTTCTTCCAATACGTACCATCACTTGGAACAGGTGCTCGACTTGGTTTGACTTCTTTTACTCAATTTCAAAATCTCCCAAAAATTCCGCGTTCGGTGTTGGTGCTCTTCAACGCACTGCGAATTGAAGAAAATGCCCTATTTTCTCGTTTCTGATCCTCTGTAGTGTAGCATAAGTATAAGCCGGCGAAAGATAACCCTCCCCCCCTCCCCTTCGGTAGGAAGGCGAGGGGTAACCCTCCCCTCTTCTTCAGTGAGAATTTTGGAAATGATGATTTTCTAGAAGCTCTCGAACTCGACTAGTAGAATAAAAATTTTTTGTTTACGCAAATTTGGTCGTAGTGGGGGGGGGGGGGGGTAGGCCCCTCCCAAACCCCTGAAAAATTCTCAAAATTCCGACTTTTCCGCGAATTTTCCCATTTTTCTCGAAAAGGCTTGATTTCGGAGCAAATCTCCATATAACCAATCTGAAAACTCGTAAAATTTCGTTCAGGGTTATGTGTGAGTGACTTACGTCATGACCCACGGCAAACCCAAAATGGAGAGTTTTAAAATATCAGAATATCTCAACTTCCCGTGCAGATGACCGTTTCGCCGCGATTTCTCGCCAATAAAGCGGAGAAGGTTGGTAATATCGTAAAATTATTCATCCCTAAAATGATACTGCTTAAATTTTTCATTTGAGGGGCAGTCTAATCCCTGGTGGAGGGAGGGGGTCCCGTCCCCTCCAGAGTACCCACCCTACAAAATCTGAGAGATCAGCCGCTTCTTTGAAGTGGCATTATGCAAAAAATGGACGGCAAAGTTAAAAACAAGAAGTGTTTTTCGGAGAGCACATCTATGTGACCTTTCGTGGAAGGTAGCGGGGGGGGGGGGGAGAGCGGGGTACAATCTCCCCCTCCCCGTAATCGCGAAAAAAAGTTAAATAAACGCGAAATATTCACTTTGTAAGGCAACTTTCAGGGCTTGTCATTGACACGCTCACACTCATATAATTTAACGAGAGGGAAGGGGTTTAACGACTGTCGAAAACCTCCCTCCTCAGAAAAGTGTATTTCACTTTCACTTTCTAAAAGGTCATTGAGAGTTCTTGGCATCATTTCTCAAGAGATCCAGTCGAAATATAATGCTCCGTAACTGGAGTTACTACTCTGATTAGGTGAAGTTTCACTCTTAAATTAAGCATTTTTGAGTAAAATCAGAAAATTCGCGGAAAAGTTGGAATTTTAAGCAATTTTCGGGGTCTAGGTGGGGCCTGGTCGTCATCTCCCCCGCCGCCCCCCCCCCCACCACAGTAAAATTCTCGTAAACAAAAAATTCTTATTCTACTAGTCGACAGCTTCAGAAAATTACATTACAATCTTCAAAATTCCCACGGGGGAGGGAGGGTTGCTCTTTGCTGACCCGCAGCTTCCAGTATGCGTATAGCGTATACCTACTGGTAGTACGAAGCGTCTCTACTTTAACGCGCTCCTTCAATTCGAGAAGGAGGCAAAATATCCTGCATGTTGGAGAGTGTAGGTGCAGCAAGGCGTCTCCCAGGTAGAATGCATTGAGATGAGAGGATAAGCCTTCTCACTCGTATCTTCACTGCATAGCCTTGCATCAAAGCATCAAATGGTTCAAATATGTTTTGGCCCGTGTAAATTTAGGAAATTCTAGAACATTTTCGCTTTCAATGTGATCTACTGCAATACAGTGATGTCTTCTACTCTGAACTCGCAAAGTTTAAAAATGTCCCCCTTGTTCATCATTGAGCCTACTTACGGTTGAGGATCTACACTCCTTAAAATCATAGCTAATTTTCTAGTCAATAATGGTGACCACCTTTGTTCTGCCTAAATACCCCTTGCATCCCATGTTCTACCCCCTTCCA